TGACTCCAAGCATCTCGGTGTTCAGGATCGTAAATAGAGACCGGAGACAGCAATAAATAGCGACTTAGCTGGCTGTAATGCCAGTTTCTCAGTTTGCCATGTCTTATGTTGGTAGCACAAGTCAATGCTCAGGGGGGGTTAATATATTGTATCGTGCATGCTACACGTCGCCTTAGGTCTTCTGATCCTTTACTGGATTTCGGAGAGCCTTGAGGCAGTGACTTTTCTGACTATCTTGTGGAGAACTTCTACACACGTTCTGCCCTTTCCCGAGGTAGTAGTGACTATGCACACGTCCAGTTGCAACACCTGAGGTCATTTCGACGTTGGTTCGAGGTGAATTCCCGGCTCGAGGGGTCGTCGGGTCCCAAAGATGCGATCAGATCGGTTCGAGATGGATTCAGATCAAGTGTTCATAGCCTCTCAGGTAAAAGTGGAGGAGCTCCCAGGAACAAATAGACCACCCTCATCTACCAGTTGATTGTGGTGAGGTGTGATGGGAAGCCGGTGGAGGACATCTCTAAGTCATTGAATCTGATACGGAGGCATCAGAGAACAAGATGAGTTACGAACTCACTAAAGCTTAAACTGGAGGAGTAGCATATTTTGTACAGCCGAAGAAGAATGTTATTTTTTGAGACGACGGCACAAAGCAATTCAATCCAACGTTCTCCAGGCTTAAGGCACCGGCCGGTGAACCTGGTTCGGAGTTCAGTTCATCAGACCGATTATCTTCATCTTCTTGCGGACAAGGCGCTTTCGGGGTACACGTGCACATGACGGACGGTTAATCCGGACGAGAATTAGCGCTGTGGTAGGGACTTCTGAAAAAGGGGGACGGGACCAGGGATTTATTTCGTCAGAGCGTCGATGACGGACAAGACGTTGACCAGGACTTGGAGATCCGCTGTAGAAACGCCATGGACAATGGCTCGCCAGGAGCCGAAGACCAATTCGCAGAGCAAAGAGCCGGGGCATTCTGCGATGAGGAGAGCGCCGTCCCCCATGCCGGCGGAATGGTCGCCAGATGTCCGAGGAGAAGAGAGAAAGCGACGAGATGCTCAAGTGGGACGCCCGGTGCCAAACGGTCCACAGAGCATACACCGCCAGCATACTAGTTGATGACGGTAGCAGGGTCAGAAGCAGTTTCAGCCTAGAAGAGCCAGGCGTTGGCGAGTTCGGAGAGTTGAGATCATGGTGTGCCCGGCCCAACTGAGGGTGGAGCAGAGCTCCGTCCGCCCGCGGAGACCCGGAGGATGAGACCGAGAGCGCCGCCGATGCAGGAGAAAAAAGCGGGTGTTCGATCCAGGCGAAAGGGGTTACGTCTCGGTGGTGTAGAATGCCTATTTTTGCTAATAGAAATTGGCCACGTTCAAAATGTATTGGACGGCCCGAATTCGCATACAGTCAGTCAACGATGGTTGCGCTTCGCGAGGCGCGACCCGCTGTTTCAACTGACGCCCGTTTTCTATGCCCGAGCCACTATGCAATCTCAAGCAAGAGGGGGATCTTTCGTTGGCAAAGTCGACCGTGAGATAAGATGCAGGAATTAGTTAAATGATTAGCAGGATGTCGTTCGATCGAGGTGCGCTGTGTGGGAGGTGTTGGAGATAATACTCGTGGTGACTGGTTGTTCTGAGACGGATTACGTGTGTGGCTTAGGATCCATTGATAATGGTACGGGCGTGGGTCTTCCGACGAACGCTATGGAAAGTTTTGGAGGTCCAGGCCTGGGCCAACTTCAGCGGTGCACTAGTAGGAGTGCTGTGGAGGGTTCTTTCGCGAAAGTCGAGCGCTGGTCGGGGGATGTCTTTCGTTGGGGGAAAAACTTCGGAGGAGAGAGAAAGTGAGGGTCGCCGCTCGTCGCCAGGGTGGGGGTCGGACGGGGGACGGGATAGACGGGCCGAGTGGTCTATCTTAGCGGTGTTTCTGTGTGAGCCCGTTGGCCCGAACCACTTGCTTGCATGCGAGAGGAGATGACATCAGGCATCAGGAACGAGATGTAGGAAGAATTAATCGATCGTTAGGCTTGCATGAAGACCGGTAATTAAGGCATCGAAGGGTTCTCGGCGTTCCAAGGGCCCACCAGACGGTATCAATCCGAGAGTCGGACGAAAACGGATCAATTAGTACGGCATGAACGTGATTTCCTTTTCAGCGCTTTGGTAATGATGAAAGCGAACCACGGATGAGGCATATTACACGAGACCATAATCTAAAAATCCAACGCACCAGCCCTGTGCACAAGGTGACGAAGACAACGCCCACGCGTGCGCAAATCCTGCATCGTTTAACTCTGATGCCTTCAAACCGTCTATAGTGATCGACGCAGGGTCTGGGATGTCTCTACTCTCGGTTTGCTCGCTGGTCTACCACGGTCGTGCCGCTTACTCTCACTACCCACATAGCACGCCGTGTCTGTCAGTCCCAACATGCGCGCCCTAATGAAAGTGATTTCGACCGCCTGCGAAGACACAAGTGACTCCGTTAATAAGAACAGCATATCCCAGGCGAATCGCGGTGATTATATAGCTAGGGCGTCGTGAGAGGGGGAGGAGGTTTATCTTGTGGGCGTTAATTAGACACAAATAATGAGTAGGACGAAAGCCTTGAGTTAACAGAAACCAGCCATGTTTATTTTTCCCCTCCACCTCCATAGGTGGCAGCACATGCCAGTGATGATAACTTGTTGACACAAGAACAGATAATTATGATAATACAACATGTGTGGTCTGCAGTGCATGCGTAGTGTAGTGTAGGACGTTTACCCATTAGTGTTACGGTAAAGATACACGCGTCCAGGGGCCTGGTCGAATGGGAATTCTTGATGATCGGTTCCCGCGCTGTCAAACTTTTATTGTGGTGGAATTTAATTGCAAGTGGAATTGGGGCGGAGGTAATTTAAATGGGGCGGAACAATTGAAACAGGGGGGGGGGAGTTTTCCCAAACGGGGCGGGCGCGCCCGGTTTGCGCAACGTAGGGAGGGGCCTGGGTTACAAGAAGGTGGATGTATGCTGATTCATTTGGTATATCACATGTGAAGTGTTTTTTGGCAATACTTGGCAAATAAGACAACTACGTGTTTAGCTGCACGGTCTTCTAACCCTAGCAAGACCGTTTCTTGGAGCTAACCTTAGTTAGGCTACCTTCCTATAGGGGTGTAACGATGCATCGAAATATCGATGCATTGCAATAGACAGCGTCACGATAGTCAACCATTGATGGTAAATCTGACCATCGATAGTATTGACTATTGCGGCAGTACTATCGCGATAGTTTCGATAGTTGCGTATCTACCCTGTGTTGATAATTTATGATCAGAAATAAACAGCAAACACCCATAACGAGTGCTAAAATTCACACGCACACATTTCAAGCTGCTCCAAATCGCGATTAAAATCTGCTGAGTAACCCTCCATGGGGGCCGCCATCTTGGATATAGCGAGCGCACAGCGAGCGCTCGTGCATCGTTCAAGAGGCGCTGCGTTCGTGCAGCGAGCGTGCGCATCGAGCGTTCGCT